ACAAAACCACCAGACCATGCATTATAAAGCACACAGACCTAAAGGGCAAGTAATGAGGCCTAGTTACCTTAATCATCCTTGTCTCACCACTCCTCCCTACCTAAACACAGTATCCAATTCATCAACCATAACTTACTGAGTGCCTACTAATATTTGCCTGGATCTGTGCCATGTGCTGGAAGTATATTCGTGTAAAAGACACACATGGTTCTGATCTCCCTGGTTTACTGAGGTGAAATGCTAAATACACTCTGTTGGATAAACTTGAACACACTAAATTTTCAGTTCATCCAAAGCACCAGACCCTTGCTAGAGCAGGGTTCGTCAACCTTGGTACTACTGACATTTTGGGTGGGATGATTCTTTGTTGTGAGGGGCTGTCCCATACACTGTAGGTTGTGTGGCTGCATCCCTGGACTCTTCGCACTAGAGGTAGTAGCAAGCTCCGGAGTTGGGACTATCAAAGATGTCTCCTGACATCTCAAATGTCCACTGGGAGGCAAAATCGCCTGGCTGAGCAGCACTGGTCAGAGGCCCTCCTAAGTGCTCTGTCCCCCAACCTTAATTCTCTATACAACCTTCAAATCTCATCTCAAACTTAATTTCCTCAGGGAGGGCTCCCTGACCTCCTCAACTAGATCAGAGCCCTCTGTTTTGTGCTGTTTGTAAAATTTCTCCATCCTGCACTTACTGAGTGTTAATTACCCGCTTAACCTCTACTCTTCTCCCGGGACGGTGTGCTACGTGAGGGCAAGGAACGTGCTGCCCGCGTTTCCCTGGCACTGGCACAGGGCCCGGCATACAGGTAAAGCAACTGCTGTGGCGTTAATGACGGAGAAGAAAGCAAGGCAATGAGAGAGCGTAGGAGACCGGGACACGAGAGGGCGTGGGGGGAGGCACCGTCTTAGGAAGCAGAGGCGCTGTGGGTCCCGGGGGTGGGGGGGATGGGGGGGAAGGGGGGTTAAAGCTCAGTCGCCAAGCGCATGCGCTTCGCGCTCCTCCCGCCCCTCATCGGAGGTAGGTAGTGAGTGTCCCCAGCTTTGCCCGGGCTACTGAAGGAGGAGGGGCAAGGTCTGTCACTCCCATGGGGGCCCCGAAGCGAGGAAAACTTACGGGGGCCTGAAAGCGGGCGGCGAAATTCCTCACTCGTGAGACACCAACTGGGGCCACAACGTCTGCGGTGGGCGGCTGCTCAGTTCCTCAGCCTGCCTAACGGCCGTTACACACCCGCCAGGCCGCGCGCCTCAGTGCGCGCGCCGTGCTGCCTCGCCCCTTCTGCCTTCTGACCAATCGGGAGTCGAGCCACGCCAGTCTCCCGCCCCTCTCTGCCTGCTTCTGATCAATCGAGAGTCGAGCCGTGCCGGTGTCCCGCCTCTGCACGCTGCCCTCCGGCAAGCCGGACGGATCTCTCTGCGCATGACCTCACCACCACTTGGCGCCTTCTCCTCTGCTCCTTGCCGGGTCTTGCCTCTAGGTGGAGCCCTGCTCACTTAGCTCTGGAGCGGGCCGGCCCGCAGGGCTTGTGAAGATAGGAAAACTGGCGGCTGGGGCACGCGAGAATCCCACCAAATCTGTCTCACCCTCCTCCCATTCCACCACCCACCTTGCAGTCCTATCTGAAGCGGGGATCAGGTTTTGACCAGGAGTGAGGGTGTGGCTTGGGTCACTGACTTCTTAGGGTTAGGGGTCAGGGCTTTGTCTGGGTGGGAGTCAGTGGTCAGCCTGTGATCAGGGATTAGGTAAAGGATTGGTCTTGCTTCCTACCTAAACTTGGTACCAGGAAAAGGAAATGTTAAGTCCATTTGCATTAATATGTACTTGAAGAATCAGACTGGAAAATTGTTTCAAAGGAGGAACAAAGCCAAGAGCCAAAGGAATGAATGTTTGATAGTGAAATTCTAGGTTGCTGGAAACCTGACATGGGATGGAGAAGCATTATAAAGTTGTGTGGGGAAAAAAAGTTGTGTGATTTCTTAGCTTTTTAGAACCAGCCATAAAGAGAGTTCATTATTGGATCAAATTCACTCTAGAGTAAGGACCCTAAGTATGTCCCCCAAAGTTCAATCTCCTGCCCTCTTTTAACCTTTTAAGACAAAACTACAGAAGGCATAAAATAGCAGGTTTACTGGATAATGAACCTGAGTATGATATGAAATTAGGACCAGAAGCCTTTGTTAATAAGAATGTTAAGGCTTGGTGTCCCTAGCACTCTGGGAAGCTGAGGTGGGAAGATTGCTTGTGCTCAGGTGTTGGAGACCAGCCTGAGCAAGAGTGAGACTCAGTCTCTACTAAAAATAGAAAAAATTAGCGGGACATGGTGGTGTGTGCCTATAGTCCCAGTACTCGGGAGGCTGAGGCAGGAGAATCACTTGAACCCAGAAGTTTGAGATTGCAGTGAGCGAGGCTGGTGCCACAGCACTCTAGCCCTGGCAACAGAGCGAGAATCTATCTAAAAAAAAAAAAAAAGATTGGGTGTCTTGACTGTTTCTTATTGGAGCAGCCTACTCTCTACCATCTTTGAGAGCATAAAAGAAGAAAAAAGAAAGAAGGAAAAAAAAGGGAAGAAAGTATTAAAAAAAAAAAAGGCTGGGTGTCTAAATGAATAAATTTATGGACTGGTAGATATAAAGTTAAAAGTGTCAGTCAAAGTTGAAAGTTGAAAGACACTTGATGGCTTCTATTTCTTTTGTGAAAGGCATCAGTGAGGAGGGAGGGAACAGGGGCATGTAGAGGACTGAGAAAGATGGGAAAGATTTGAAGAGCTGATGCAAAGAATAGAAGAGAAACCTGGCTGGAAACATAAGTGTTGAGATTTAAATTTACAAATACCAAACAGTACATTGGTATAGTTTCCTTCAATGGACATCTATAATTTAAAAGCAACACCATTATCTACTGCCAATTTTCAAATATGAGTGACTCATTTATAAACAAATATATATATACATATATATTTTTTTCTTTGAGACAAGGTCTTGCTGTATTGTCCTGAGCTCAAGCCATCCTCCCACTTCAGCCTTACAAGTAGCTGTGACTACAGGTACATGCAACCATCCCCAGCTCATTTATATCTTTTAACAGAGACTTTGGCCCTAATTTCACATCATATTAACAACCAATATTTAGATATGAGATGTTCTTAAATCTTCAGTTACTTTATTATTTTTAAAAAGACTTGCTGCATATTCTAATAAAATATAACAAGGGAACTATCACTTGATGACTGAAAAAGGATTGGATTTGGCCAGATATGACCCACCCCAATTTATTCAAAGAACATGAGAAAATTAACTGCAACTTAGTTATAATTGTATAATTAGAGCTACAGTTTTCATAGGCATTAAGTATTGTCTAGGGGATTATTTTATAAGCATCTATGGCTTCTTTATTGTGCTCAACTAATTTGGTTCAAGTTCAATAGCTTCCTTGATAACTTGATTTTGTTTCATTCTTTTCTTTTTGAAATATTTGAGCATAATACAGTCAATATTTTGCCCTTATCCTTCAGGATAGCTATATATCTATATCTATATATAATCTATATCTCCATATATATATATATATATATATATATTCCCCCCCTACCTCCCTTCTTCTCTCAGGATATATTTTATTTATTTTTGTTTTATTTATTTATTTATTTTAGGATATCTTTTAAATAAGGGGAAGGGTTAATGCCTTTTCTAGCAGTGCTGTTTAAATAGTCTACTCCAGGCTGGGCGTGGTGGCTCACGCTTGTAATCCTAGCACTCTGGGAGGCCGAGGCGGGCGGATTGCTCAAGGTCAGGAGTTCAAAACCAGCCTGAGCAAGACCCTGTCTCTACTATAAAAATAGAAAGAAATTAATTGGCCAACTAATATATATATATAAAATTAGCCGGGCATGGTGGCACGTGCCTGTAGTCCCAGCTACTCGGGAGGCTGAGGCAGTAGGATTGCTTGAGCCCAGGAGTTTGAGGTTGCTGTGAGCTAGGCTGACGCCATGGCACTCACTCTAGCCTGGGCAACAAGCGAGACTCTGTCTCAAAAACAAACAAACAAAAAATAAATAAATAAATAAATAGTCTACTCCAGACCTATAAAGTCAATATGAATTCCCAATGAAATGTAATTAATTAATTGTATGCTGATTTAATAAATGTGTGACTTTGACGTGCATGAAAAAATAATATGGGTTGGTCATTTGACCACATTTTTTTCAGGAACTGTTAAAACATTAAATGACAACAAAATGTCAGAAAATGAAATATTAAGACTGTTAAACTTAACTTTTATTATGTTGCTTGTGGCAACATTTATTCCCAGGAAATTAATTTCTAAAATGATCATGGACATCAATAAAAAATAGTATTTCAAAAACAAAGCAACAAAGAAAAGCAACAAGGCCTTCCTGTGGTTTTGTGAAATTCTCCCTCACTGGTAGGTACCACCTCTTCCAATTTATAAGGCCCGTCCTGCTTCCTGGACCACACTACCTATTGCCTGCACTCAACTGTCCACTGTTCTCTCTGTAAGATTAAAGACTGAGTCTTGTGTACTGTTGAATCCCCAGGGCCTAACACAGTACCAGGTACATAATAGAGTCCAACCTGTTTTTTAATGAGTATATGATAGCACAAACATTGCTGTCTGTATCCATCCTCTACTGGGAAGGGGGAGCTAATGAGCTCAGAAATGATTAAAGACAGGAGAAAGGTCTGATAATATTATATGGATACATGTATCCTCATTCTGAAATTGAATAATTATTGTCCATTTTACAGAAAAAAGAAAGGGGACTTAGGACCTGCTGGCCAAGCCCCAGGAACTTTTCTTGGAATGAGACTCATAGAGTCCACATGTTGACGCAGAGATCATCTGGTAAAACTCTTTGATTTTACATCTGGGGAAACTGAGACCCATAGAAATAAAGTGACTTCTCACACTATCTCCCCATTCCCAATCCTTCTGGAGCCCTGAGGCCTTATGGTCAGATTACGACAGAAAGGAGCCAGACAAAGTCGAATTCCCTGCTGTTTATTGGCCATACCCTCTGCACCACCCCGTAGCATACTGAACAACCCAATCCCCCTCTGGAAGAGTTTAAGAGATGAGAAGAGAAGGTGGGATGGGAAAACGCAACCCAGTGCTTAGTAGCCACACTCACCACCAAGAGTTGGGCCATACATCGGTTCCATCTTCACCCCCAATCTCTGTGGTCCCTAACAAGAGAACAGACTACTTGACTCTCCCTAACTTGTCTTCCACTCCACCCTTGCCTCAGGCAAGTAACCAGAGAGCAAGGATTAGGGGTGGGGATGGTATCTGGGCAGGCTTTTATCCCAGGATCCATCGTATCAGCATCAGGAGAAAGATGGCCATCCAAGATCCTGCAGGAAAGAAAGAAAAATGATTATAAAATAAGATTAGGTGGCTTTGAAATCCTGGGAAATTTTTTAAGCTTAGATATTTCATCTGGGGGATTATTTAGTAATCTATTCATTCATTCTTTCAACAAAGCTTTTTTTAGGACTGTGTGTGCCAGTTAGATTGGGGGTGGGGAGGATGGAGATAACAGCGATGAAAGGCAGTCTCTAGTTCAGTGTGGACCCCACTCAGCACACACTCACTTGTCCTTGTTAACTGCCTGGCCCTGTATCTTGAATTTTCAATCATTTCTTGACAGTCTCAGGTTCTGATTAGGGATAAACCAACAGCCCGACAATGACAGCAGCCATGTACTGCTGACACTCAGGAACTGACTTCTCCCAGGTCTCATAAGTTAAGCAGAAACAGGATCCAAGACTAGCACCTGCCAGAACCCAGTGTGTACTCCCAGACCCTGGTGCAATCATCAGAGCTTCATCATAGCAGTCCCTTTGTACCAACCTGCCAAGCTCCTGCTGCCGGAGACACTGGACTCTGAAATCACATAGAAAGAAAGCTTGAGCTCAAGGTGCCATCCTGAGAAAACAAGGCCAGTACTCTCCCATCATTTCATCAAGATTAGGCAAAGAGCCTGTCCCCATTTTGAAGCTGGGACTCAGAAGAATGTGAGGATGGATCTTCTGCCTCTAATAAGAGTGGATTTACTGAGATGATGGGCTTTACCGAGGGTTGGAGCTTTGGAGGACTGTTACAGAATAGAAAAAAGGGAGAGACCTTTCTAAACCAGCAAGAAAGATTTATTAAAAAAACACCAGCAAGAGGGATAGTGAGAGAAGACTGATCTGCTGTCACAGGAAAGGTGATAATAGGAGGAGAGAGGCAGAGATAGCTCAGACTTTAAGTTTATTTTTTTATTTTTATTTTTTGAAACAGTCTCACTGTGTTGCCCCGGCTAGAGTGCCGTAGCGTCATGCTAACTCACAGCAAACTCAAACTCATGGTCTCAAGCAATCCTTCTGCCTCAGCCTACCGAGTAGCTGAGACTTCAGGCATGCGCCACCATGCACGGCTAATTTTTTCTGTTTTTAGTAGAGACTGCGTCTCCCTCTTGCTCAGGTTGGTTTCAAACTCCTGACCTCAAACCATCCGCCTGCCTCGGCCCCCCAAGAGTGCTAGGATTACAGGCGCCAGCCACTGCGCCTGGCCCAAGACTCGAAGTTTAATGAGTGAGAACAGGACCCAGAAAGGGCAGGAGACCTCTCTAGCGCAGAGGGAGCAGCCAGGAGGATATGGGCTCAGGGAGGAGACTCGTCTTTGGGGAGGAGTGCGAGGGCATGAAGGTAGGAAGGGGGTCAGTTAACAGTGGGAGTCTCAGAGCAGGTCAGCAGGAGGCTCTAGAGAAGAGGGAGGGAGGCCCCACAAATGATCCAGTTACCGCTTATTCGGATGGGCCCGAATACTATCCAGCTGCCACGGCGCTCCAAGCCCTCCGACGCTCGGTCTTCCCAGGCTGCATTCCTCCGAGGAAGTTTCTGACTGCAAGTCTGTGGGCGACGCAGGCAAACGGGTGGCCAGGCGGGCCGGATTGGGACTTTGCCCGAGGCCCCTGGTACCCCCGCCTCCTGCCCCGCCCCCAAGTGAGTTGACCAATCCGCAGGCCTAGGTCTTCAAAGTCCCGCCCTAACAGTACCACAAGCCCCGCCCCCTCTGGATGGGCCAATCTGCTCCCAGGACTTGTGCCTTGCTAGAAGTCTGGCCACGTTGTGGCTGCTCAGGGGCCTCGGGGCTGCCCGCTTACCGGTTGGCACGGGCGTCCCGCCTTCTTGTCGCACAGGGTTACGCGGCCGTGTAGGTACATGGTATCGCTGGTGAAGAAGCGGAACAGGTTGAAGGCCAGCGTCACTTCCAGAGAGCCCCCGTTGGCCTGCAGGCCGTGGAGCAGCCGGTTGCTGACTGGGCAGCTGTGGGGAAAGGCAGCGTCCCGGACGGGTTAGGACCCCCGGCCTGGGCCGCGTTGGGGACGGACAGCTCCGATTTCCCCCTCTGTACTTGTCCTGTAGGTATAGATGCAGGGTCTCTTGCTGAGAACTTTACATGGATTATTTCACTGCGTCACACCAATCCTGGGAGGAAGACAATACTTTTTCTTTTGGGACACAGTCTCACTCTGTTGCCTGGGCTAGAGTGTCATGGCATGAGCCTCCCTCAAAGCTATGTCAAACTCCTGGGCTGAAGCGATCCTTCTGCCTCAGTCCTGAGTATCTGGGACTACAGGCATGTGCCTCCATGCCTGGCTAATTATTTTTTCTATATATTTTTAGTTGCCCGGCTAATTTCTTTCTATTTTTAGTAGAGACAGGGTCTCACTCCTGCTTAGTCTGGTCTTGAACTCCTGACCTTGAGTGATCCACCTCTGCCTCACAGAGTGCCAGGATGACAGGCCTGAGCCACCACGCCCAGCTGAAGACAATACTGTTGCACCCTCCCCCCCATTTTTCTTTTCTTTAAAGATGAGGAAACTGAGGCTCAGGGTTGCCCAAGGTTCTGCAGGTGGCAGCCTGGCTTCAGTGCCCACCCATACCCTTAATCACTAGGTTCCGTTTCCTCCCCACAAAGGGGAATTACATGCGAGGACAGGTTTGGCCCTGGTGTATTTCAGGACCTGGACTGTGGAGCAGGAGTAGGCCCACGGTGTGTCATTGGTCAAGTCACCTAAACTCTTTGAGCCCTCTCTAGTTCTCTCATCTGTAAGGTAGGGAAATGATGGTTTTTAGGGTTGTTTTGAGGAACAAATAAGGTAATCAATGATTCCCCGTGCTCTGCAAAGACTTGTTAATAAAATACAATCTAGAAGTCCTGAGACCCTGCTCCTTCCCTAGAGCAAGGAGCAAGGACTTGGATTTACTATCTCTGTGTTTCCAACACTTAGCAAGGTCTGCCATTTACCAGTTGTCTTAACTGAGCCTCAGTTTCTCCATCTATAAAATGCGAATGAAAATATAACTATCTCATAGACTCTGTTGTGAGGTGTAAATGAGTTAATATATGTGAAGTGATTCAAACTGTGTCTATCATGGAGTAAATGCTATGTCAGTAATTAGCTATTGTTAGCTATTAAATGCAATGCATGTATAACATAGCGTATAGCGCTCTGACATGATAGTTTTGTTTTTCTCATTTAGTTTTATCATCGTAGAACTCAATAATTGTTTGAAGATAGAATAAAAGAAATGAATGTTATTTATTGGCTGTGAGATCTTGGGCAGGCTTTAATCTCCCTGAGCCTTAATTTACTCATCTGCAAAATGGGAATGATAGCGGTATTCCACAAACATTCACCAGGCACTTACTTTCTGTCAGTGTTTGTGTGCTAAGGATACAAAGAAGAGTGACAGGGTCTGTACTTAGGGGTAAAAAAAAGCACCTAGCACAAGCTGCATTGGAAGGACTGGTCTGGCTGGCACAGGCAGGAGGTTCTTGGGCCTGACAGATGCTTACCTCTCATTCACAAAGTGGTAGGTAGCCTCAACAGCACCCATCCTGGAGATGTTGGTACTAGCAAAGACCTCATTGGCCACCAGGGCAAATCGGTCTGGATCGCTGCTTGTGTCCCTGAGGACCACGTAGAGGGGCTTGCCAATAGGAGCTGTTCTGTTCTCAAGAGGAGCTGAGAGCTGAGGGTCTGTGAAGATTCCCAGGATAACGACAGTGTCCCCAGTGCCCGGAACATGGATGGTGACATATCTAAAAAGGGACAGGAGTGAGACCCTCACCACAAAACCCCAGGGGGAGGGACCATCACCCACCTTATGCCTCACTGAGGTCAGTATTCACTGGTAACCACAGAGAATACAGGGAGGGGAGGAGAAAACCTGCTACCCTTCCTCCTGGTCTGCCTAAAAAGTGAGGTGCCACCTCACAGATCCCCAAACTTAGGATCCTTGAAGCCATCCCACTCTACGGTAATCCATCTATAAGCAACCCATAATGCATTGCTTCATAGAAGCATTTTTTTTCTTCCACTGTTGCTTTGAGTTTCCATCGACGAGATGCCTATGTTTGGTGGGTGGGCATAGGGGGCCAATACCCTGAGAGTGTTGACTCTTCTGCCTGGGTTAGAGGTAGAGAACTCAGGAGGCTCCCAGGGCCCAGCCAGAGGCGGCAGACAAGGCAGGACTCACGGAAAGGAGACCACCGGGTAGGGCAGGGTCTGGCTGACATTCACCACCAGTGGGTATGTGCAGCTGAAGCTGAGCACTGTGGCATTAGTAATGGTGAAGTCAGGGGGATCGTGCAGAAGAGTCACCTCCAGGGAGTACCGGGCGTGGCTGCTGTTGGTCTAGAAAGGACAGGGAGGCGGCCGTTACCCTCACATCCCCCAGGGAAACACCACCGCCCATCCTCACTGGCTGCAAGTTGTCTGTTTAAATAAAAGTGATGACTAAAGTTTACTGAGCATGGGCAGCATGCCAGGCATTGTGGTTTGATCACAACTCTCTGAGGAGACTTCTGTTATTAGTCCCATTATGCAGAAGAGCAAACTAAGGCTTACAAGCTTGAAAGTCTTGCCCAAAGTAAGTAAGAGAGCCAGAATTCAACATCTGAATTTCCAGAGCCTATGCATGTTCTTAACCTCTGTGCCAGTGTTTCTCACATTCAGTGTGCATTTTAGAATCCCTTGGAAAAAAATAAATCAAAGAATCACTAGGGAGCTTGTTAAAAAATGCCAAGTCCTGGTTCCTATCTCCAGATTTGGAGATCTTTTTGGTTTTTTATTGTTTACCTAGGGTTTTTTTAATTAACCAAAATGATTTGTTGCTATAAATAAAGCAGTTTATTAAAAGAACATTGGGGTGGGCATGGTGGCTCATGCCTGTAATCCGAACACTCTGGGAGGCTGAGGTGGGAGGATCGCTTAAGCTCAGGAGTTTGAGACCAACCTGAGCAAAAGCAAGACCCAGTCTCTACTAAAAATAGAAAAATTAGCGGGGCGTGGTGGTGTGCGCCTGTAATCCTAGCTACTCAGGAGGCTGAGGCAGAATCCCTTGAGCCCAGGAGTTTGAGTTGCTGTGAGCTAGGCTGATACCACAGCACTCTAGCCCAGGTGACACAGCAAGACTCTGTCTCAAAAAAAAAAAAAAAAAAAATGAAAGAAAAGAACTTTGATAGAGACTTCTAGAGGCATAACCGTGGACTTAGCCATTCCATGTTGAAACTGCCAACACTATTCCACAACCTCAGCAAGATACCGCATGAATCCCTGGGTAGCAGAACCAGAGATAACGGCATATAACTGAAAGGAACTAAATTCTCTCTTTAGGACAAACTCTGGTTTTCAAACTGAATTCAGGGAGCCCCAGAGCCTCCTTGAAGAACTGGGAAGGCCAGCTGATGTGTCAGGGGAAGCTCACCTGGCAGGGCACTCTTCCTTCTCCCCATTCAGTCAGAGCTGCTCTGCTTTCATGTATATAATACCCCTTGCAAAGAAGGGGATGGCAGTGCAAGTGCAAACCAATCTGTTAGCAGCTATGCAACTTGAGAAAATCCCTCAACTTCTGTGAGCCTTATTTACTCCTCTGTAAAATGGGAGCCTCACAGCACTATCATAAAGATGTAATAAGATAATGTGTGTTAAAAAAGTGTTTGAACCACAGCACATGGTACATGGTAAGAAAATAAATATTGCTTGTGGTTGTGGTTGTTACCATTTAAAGGGTTCCGTGGCTGAACAAGAGTTTGGAAACCAGTATCCCAATCCATCAAACATGGCACCACCCACAAGGGTGTTCCCAGTCAAGGAGGACAATATGGATTTTTCCCTCAAAAAGACTGGTCCGATGACTGAGATGTGACTCCGTTTCAGAGAATTTCTCAGTCAAATGGAAATAAAGTCACAACTGGTGCCTGATCACTCCTTTCCCAGCCCCTGCCCCCACGCACACAGATCCCCCCTCAGGCGGCCCCTGCCAGCTTGCTTACAGACAGGCGGAGTCCACAGACACCCTCCTTCTTCTCCAGCATGAAGACGTGGACACGGAGACCCTGGTCTATTCTGCTGCCATTGGAGCATGCCGAGAAGGCACCTTTCGCCAGGACCCAGCTGTGAGTCTTCAGGAAGCAGCGGCTCAGGAGCACCTCAATTTTCCGTGGCAGGCAATGCAGGCTCCTCGATACTCTGAACAATTCTGAAGGAGGACAAGAGCTAGGCTAGCGGCCTTCTGAGGCTCCCGGGATGACCCCATGGGGGAGGGGGGTTTCTAGTCTAAATTAGGGGGGGACACTGTTGGGATATTAGCCCAACTCACAAAGACTCCTCTACACAAGGACTCTCCGTCACAGGAGGCAAGTCCCCACAGCATGTTTGGCCTCTGGGACCTGATCCCTGGCCTTAATCCACTCAGAATCTCTTTCCCAGGAATTAGGAACTGGGCCTCAAAGAATGTGGCATAAAGCTTGAGAGGTGAGGTGGCCATCTTCTGTCCTGTGGGCTGAGAGGCAGGTGAGGAGGGAGGGGAGAGAGCACGAGCAGGTGCTGGATGGGAGAGCAAGACGAGAGGAGAGAGAGGTGGCCCCTGGTTCCTGCTACCTTCCCAGCTCAAGTTCCAGTTCCTGGAGAACCTGCTGGAGCCTGCCTCAGCCTCCCCAAGTCACTGTCTTCCTTTACATAGCCCTGTTGGTTTCTGCTGGTTGTCTGACAAAATTCTATTTTGAGATATTAATTTGTTTTGTTCTCTGTGATTTCCCTTCTATTCCAAGCTGGAAGTCAAGCCCAGGGCTATTTTGAGTGGACTAAACTTCTTTAAGTCAATGGTTCTTTTGGTCTGGAAAAACCTAAACTCATTGAAGAGTTCAGGGAAAGAAGGGAGAGAGGACCTTTGAGAGACAAGAGGTTTGAGAGGTTTGGGAGCCTGCAGGTCTTCATGGTGACTTTCTAGTTTCATGAACCAACAAACTTTCTTTTTGTTTTTTTTTCCTGCAGCCTCAAAATCCAAGGCTCAAGTGATTCTCCTGCCTTAGCCTCCTAAGTAGCTGGGATTCTAGACACACACCACCACACCCAGCTAACTTTTCTTATTTTTTGTAGAGATGAAGTCTTGCTGTGTTGCCCAGGCTGGTCTGGAACTGGGCTCAAAGGATCCTCCTGTCTCAGCCTCCCAAAAGCTGGGATTACAGGTAGGAGCCACTATACCCAGCCAATTTTGTTTTATTTTGTTTCATGTTTTCAATTCTTTAAAAACATTGTATATTTCACTCAAGCCAATTACAGTTGGCTTTCTGCCACTTGCAACACAGGTGTCCTAACTGACTCGTGCCACATCCCAGTGCTGTTGGAGTGATGAATGAGAAGCGAATACCCGTTCCCTTCTCTTGCATCTGTTCTCTCCATACTTGCCACTGAATCTGGGATGAACTACTTAAAAGTTAGTAGTTAAAAGGTAAGGCTAGGCCAGGCACGGTGGGTCATGCCTGTAATCCTAGCACTCTGGGAGGCCGAGGCGGGAGGATTGCTCAAGGTCAGGAGTTCTAAACCACCCAGAGCAAGAGCAAGACCCTGTATCTACTATAAATAGAAAGAAATTAATTGGCCAACTAATATATATATAGAAAAAATTAGCCGGGCATGGTGGCGCATGCCTGTAGTCCCAGCTACTCCGTAGACTGAGGCAGGAGGATTGCTTGAGCCCAGGAGTTTGAGGTTGCTGTGAGCTAGGCTGACGCCACAGCACTCACACTAGCCTGGGCAACAAAGCGAGACTGTCTCAAAAAAAATAAAAAATAAAAAAAGTAAGACTAAAAAGTAAACCAGGCCGGGAGCGGTGGCTCACGCCTGTAATCCTAGCTCTCTGGGAGGCCGAGGCGGGCGGATTGCTCGAGGTCAGGAGTTCGAAACCAGCCTGAGCAAGAGCAAGACCCCGTCTCTACTATAAATAGAAAGAAATTAATTGGCCAACTAATATATACAAAAAATTAGCCGGGCATGGTGGCGAATGCCTGTAGTCCCAGCTACTTGGGAGGCTGAGGCAGGAGGATTGCTTGAGCCAGGAGTTTGAGGTTGCTGTGAGCTAGGCTGATGCCACAGCACTCACTCTAGCCTGGGCAACAAAGCGAGACTCTGTCTCAAAAAAAAAAAAAAAAAGTAAACCATAATGGAAATACTAATGCAAAACATTTCTGGACTTATTTTCCTATTTCAAATTTAAAATTTTTTCCTTTTCTTTAAATTTTTTTCTTTTTCCTTTTTTTTTAATTAAATTATTCATTCTTTTGTAAAAAATTTATTTAGCATCCAGTAGTAAGCAAATTTCCTTTTTTTTTTTTTTAAACTTACAGTTTCTATTTTGGCAGGCATATTTATTAAGAGGAACTGACTACAGTTTAACACATTTACTATCACACTGGGAAAAAAATTTTTTTTCTCTGGAACCATGGTGTTTTATTAAAACAAAATGATCCTGGCAGGCGCGGTGGCTCACACCTGTAATCCTAGCACTCTGGGAGGCCGAGGTGGTTAGATTGCTTGAGCTCAGGAGTTTGAAACCAACTATAAAAAGAGCCAGACCCCATCTCTACTAAAAACAGGAAGTAATTAGCCACAAAACTAAATATAGAAAAACTTAGCCGTTCATGGTGGCCAGTGCCAGTAGTCCAAGCTACCCAGGAGGCTGAGGCAGAAGGATCACTTGAGCCCAGGAGTTTGAGGTGGTTGTGAGCTAGGCTAATGCCACAGCACTCTATCCAGGGCAACAGAGAGAGACTCTGTCTCAAAAAAAAAAAAAGCAGGTATTTTCAAGCAATCAATGTGTGCTGGGAGGGGTGAGGAGTTTGAGTCAGTCATACAACTTTCTGCTGTTGCAGTCAATGTTATATTGTAATACAGGGTGCTAAATAATAATATTAATGATAGCTAGCACTCCAACCAATGCTATGAGGTAAATGTACTCTTATTATCCCTGGCAGAAGAAAATGAGACACAGTCCAAACCTAGTCTATCTTGCAGAGCCTATGTTCTTACAGGAAAAAAAAATTAACACAAAAAGAAAAATTGTCTCATTCTCGCTGCATGGAAACACAATGATATGCTTTATACCTTCTGTGGAAAGACACATGCAGCTTATACAAGTTGGCACACAACCCTGGTCTTACAAAGAAAGTATGTTGATATAATGACAACCCTCTAATAGGCCAGCAGTCCCTCAGGATTTTATTAAAAACCACCTGGGTTGGACCTGTTATCCTGATCACTTCTGCCTGGTACACCCTGCTTGGCTCCACAACAGGGTACTCCAAGGTGCTGCACAAACATTCCTCAGAATGAGGATTCTAGGGACAAATACTCTTGGGAAATACATGCTATAATCTGCTGTAAGGAAATCACAGTGAACAATAGAGTATTAAGGCCCTGAAAAGTCCTGCACTCAAAAAACAGTATTGGGCTGTGCACAGTGGCTCATGCTTAGGACTTTGAGAGGCAGAGACAGAGAAGACTGCTTGAGGCCAGGAGTTTGAGGCCAGTCTGGGCGATAGCGAGACCCCATCTCCAAAAAAAATAGAAAATTTATCCGGGTTTGGTGGCATGTGCCTGTAGTCCCAGCTACTCAGGAGGCTGAAGCAGAAAGATCGCTTGAACCCAGGAGTTCCAGGCTGCAGTGAACTATGATGAGGCCACTGCACTCCAGCCTGGGTGACAGAGCAAGACCCTGTCTCACAAAAAAAAGAAAGAAAGAAAGAAAAAAAAAGAAACAGTTTTCTTGAATCCAGTGTTTCCTAAATATATTTGACAACAGAACCTTTGCTTAAGTGCAGTGTCTATTGAAATTCTGTAGCATTGGTGCCACACAGAATACATTTTAGAAAATACTAACCCATAAGTTAAGCACTGCTAGTTTTGCATATGACAAAAACTTCATCCCAAGGTAGGATTACCCGATAGACCAAAGCAGGAATGCCAAAGAAATATTTCTTCAAGGAATTTGATATATTTTTTTAAAAGCACAGTAGTCATTTTAGGAAAATCAGAATTGTGTTAAATTTAAATGCATTGGAAGGTGAGAATTATTTTGACAATGAAGGTCATATGTCTAGGGGACATTATCATCTTTTTGGTTCACTGGACCCAGCTTCAGCCCTACCAGAGGGTAGACTGGGGAGTTTGTTGCACTGCCTGGGGGAGGCCCTGTGGACTCAGCCTTTCTGTAATATCTGCCACACTAACTTGCCTCAACAATTAGACTTGTGTCTCAGTTTCCCTGCCTAGCAGGCCTCTGCTGGGACTATAGCGCTGGTCTTTTGTGGATCATCAGCTCCTTTCCCCAGGAAGGTTTCATCTCTGCCCAGTAGCTAGAGTCCTGGGGGCTGGGAGTTGGTATAATAACTTGTCTACTCTACCTCATATGCCCAGTTGCCTGTCCTCCTACCACAACTCAGCTCTGCCAGGATGCACTCAGCAGATGCCAATGTCTTAGCAGACCTCCCTGGTCTTCCCATACCTTCGGCACACAAAGTTCCTCTGGGCCTTTGCAGAGTTATGATGTCCCCTCTGGCCCATGCCTCTTCTTTGGTTTATTCACATGAGTTCCACAGACTTACCTGAGTGAGCGTAGTAGCTTTTATTGCACCTACAAACTCCCCCACTGTCTGGATACTCATCCACAGTGCAAGCTTCAGTTCCAGGACTACTACTCTGGGTATGTTTGGGGGAAGCTTGACTTGTCCTGGTTATAGAGGATTTTGTTGTCCCTGAGGAGCTGGGGATAAGGGCTGTGGAATGAGCAGCCATTGTCTCAGGTGCCTGGGCAGTAGTAGTGTCCACACTGGAGGCTGATTCCGCTGGATAGGAAGGTGTCTGTGTGGCTGTGTTGGGGTGTGGCTTGGTCATCGTGGAGGCTGTTGGAGCTGGGAGTGCAGCTGTAGTTTTTCCTTCCTGAGTCCCAGACACAGTTGTTCCAAGGACAGTTGTCGCTAGAGCGGTTGTGGTTAGCAAAGTGGAGTGGAAAAATGCACCTGTTGTCATGGGAGAAGATTCTTTCACGTTAGCGACTTTGCTCGATGTTCTTGGGGATGTAGACACAGCTGAATTCTCAGAAACAGTGGTTGTCATGGGCCTGGGTGAATTAGCATCATTGCCTGCTGTGTTTAATGCTATTGGAGCTGTGATTGTGGCTGACATCTCAGTGTACACAGAGTCAGTGGACACTGAGGATTCTGTTCCACGGACTGTGGGGTTTGATGTTGATGGGGTTGTAATTAGAGTGCTCTGATTCTGTTTTGGGGTCTCAGGTGAAGTGGCCATGGTAGGTAAGGCTGTGGTTCTCGATGTCCCTCCCTGGTCCTTCAGTGTAGAAGACATCATGGAATTTGACAGTGTTGTGCTCTTGGAGTTTGTGGTGATAGTTGTACTTAATTTGTCTCCCTGAGTCCCATGTGGTGGAGTTGTCTGCTCAGTGGACCCAGTAGAGCTGCTAGTTTGTGGAGAGGTTGGAAGAGGAGCTGCAGAGACGTCTGTCTTCTTATTGGGTAGAGCTGAAGTTGTAGATAAATATGATACAGTTTCCTTAGGCGCATAGTCTTTTGTGGAGAGTGTTGTACGTGATGCGAGTCCTGCATATACATTGCCTATAATAAAACAAACAAACAAACAGAAAGAAACTAATCTACCCATCCCTTCCACCAAACCAGAGCTCTTCTCAGATGTTCTGGCTTGCCAAATATTCTTATTGGGCAATTCAATAAAAATAGTATCAATAGCAACTACATTATTACCAGCTCACATTCATTTATGTGCCAGCTCTGAAATAGATTTCAACTGATGCATGCCAGGGAGAAGGAACTTAATTTGTGTGGGTAACTATATCTCATTCCACTGAATGACTGCTGTACACAGTGAGTCATCAAAAGACAGAAATCTGTTAACTCAGTTGGGGTTTGGTTTCTTTCTTTCTTTTTTCTTTTTTCTTTTTTGAGACAGAGTCTCGCTCTCTTGGCCAGGCTACAGTGCGGTGGCATCAGCCTAGCTCACAGCAACCTCAAACTACTGGGCTCAAGCGATCCTTCTGTCTCAGCCTCCTGAGTAGGTGAGACTACAGGCATGTGCCACCATACCTGGTTAATTTTTTCTATTTTTTGTAGATATGGAGTCTTGCTCTTGCTCAGGCTGGTCTTGAACTCCTGAGCTCAAACAATCCACCCGCCTTAGCCTCCCAGAGTGCTAGGATTACAGGAGTGAGCGATTGCGCCCAGCCTGGTTTCTTGATACCTTGTTTGAAATCAGTTTCCTACTGCATTGAATATGGTTCTAATATTTAAAGATATAAAATGTTTTGTACAATGTGACTCCTAAGTGCAAGCCAAGTGCTTCATTCAGCATGATAGTAGTCAGGGATCATTTTGACATCATTCAGTTTTCTTCTTACCCAGTTAAGGTGCTACTCCAATGCACGAGCATCAGTACTTTAAATTCTCACAAGCAATCCTTATTTCCATTTATCAGATGATAAAAACTGAGGCTCAGACAAGTGAAGACATCTGTCCAAGGTCACACAGCCAGGAAATGGTGGCAGTGCATTTTAAACCAGGTCCCTCAGCCCCCAGAGCCCAGTGTGTTCCCTAAGGCACTGCACTGCCTCACAAAAACACAGCTTCATCCTCGCAGCTGAGCCAGCTCGTCTCTCTGGAGAGAAAGGTCCAAATCAGCTGTGCTCAGCTGGATCCCTTGGAAACCTTATTTCCCATGGGCAATGGACACAAATATGTTCATCATCTGATGCCCTATCGTTGCATCCTTGGTAGTTTTCAAAGGGTTAATTCAGAAAACTGGAGGTGACCCATCCCAGGTGATAGGCTCATCCTTCGTCCTTCCCACCATCTAATTGTGAAGAGGCACTGCCCCTTGTCCCTGACCCTGCCCCAACTGGCACCTGCCCAATCTACACCACTTTCTTCTACCCCTGTGCAGAGCTAAGGGATCACAATAGGGCAGAGGAACCGGCCAGGATGCTTGGAAACTATAGGGGGACCTAGGCTGTAGACCTGGCTCTGCTACGGACTTGCTGCATGGCCGTGGGGAAGGCCTTGCCTCTGTCCAGCACACTGGGGGACTTGAGCTTGATATTGGAGGAGCCTTCTACACTCTAGTGATCTGTAGGTCTGTTTACAACAAAAGTCCAGGCTGAAATGACCAGATGTCTTGCTACAGAAATCTCAGGCTTTTATTTGCATGGGGAGATGTTTCCAATGGATCTGACTTTATGTTTTTTCCACGTGGTTAACCAGTTGCCACTGCCCACTTATGGAATAGTCCATCCTTTTCCCACTGATTTTTCATGATACTTGTTGTTATGTATCAAGACTGATATTCTCTCTCTCTCTCTCTCTTTTTAGAGATGAGGTCTTTCTCTGTCACCCAGGCTGGAGTGCAGTGGTGTGATCATAGCTCATTGTAACCTCAAACTCCTGGGCTCAAGTGATCCTCCCACCTCAGCTTCTCCAGTAGCTGGGACTAGAGGCATGTGACACCACACCCAGCTAATTTTAAAGTTTTTTGTAGGAATGGGATCTTGCTATGTTGCCCAAGGTGATCTTAAATTCCTGGCCTGAAACAATCCTCCTGCCTCAGCTTCCCAAGTAGCTGGGATTACAGGCACAATCCATCATCATGCTTTTTCTCTTTCATTCCGTTGGTTCACTTGTCTATCACTGCACCAACAACACACTATCTTATAGCTACTTCATAGTAAATCTCAGTATTTGATTGGATGAGTCTCCCATCTTGCTCTTCAAAATTATCTTGGCTATTATTGGCCTTTTGTTCTCCCTTACATATGTAAGAATCAGCTTATCAAGTTCTACAAACAACCTGTTGGGATTGTGATTGGAAGTGTACTGCAATTATAGATATGGTGAGAACTGATGTTTTTATGATATTGAGGTCTCCTGCCTACGGCAGCACTCTTAAGAGACAATGGAGTCACCTGGGCTCTGAAGTCAGAGCCTGGCTAGCATCCCATCCCAGCTTTGTAAGAAAAGATATGCCCCCCTAGGGACATGGGAGGACATGGAAATCACTTCGTGTCTGGGCCTCAGTTTCCTCAACTGCAAAACAGAGATGACAATAGTACCCACTTCTCTGATCGTCATGAGGATTAAACAATGCATGTGAAGCGCCTAGCACAGTGTCAGCACCTAGCAAGTGCTCAGTGAGAAGAACCTGCTATTGGGAATGACTATCCCCTTCTGCTCCTCTCACCAAAATTGATATCTGCTTCCTAGATGCTTTGTCAAAGATGCTTCTGTCCCCGGTAAAAGTCATGGACTCATAGGGCTGATGGGATACACACAGTTTCCTGCCTCCTCCCAATATCTTCACCCACACTGTCCTAGGAGCTCAGAATCAGGGCTGCTCCTGACTCAGGCTTGGTGAGGCATTAGGAGTCGTGGTCACTCCTTTCCAGAGTATGGCAGGGGAGAGTAGTGGGGTTCTGACCTCCTGGGTCCTTAGTTCTGAGCCAGCTTGGGAGGTAACTAGCCTGCTAAAGCCCCAAGCTACTAGCCTGACCTAGATGCAAAGGACAGATAGAAAGAGGGAGAAAGATGAGATGACAGGCCAGATGAAGGGAGCAGACAGACAGACAATGGTAGCATCCTGAAAGAGATGGATGGGCAAGGACTGAAGCCCTGTAGAGGTCACCCTGTCATGCTCCTGCCTCCATACTCATTGATGCCCCAAGCCTTACAGACAACTCTGGGCGGGGAGATAGCCGTGCTCACATTATTATCTCTTTCTGGAGACACTACCTTTTCTCCTGCTACCTTCCTTCCCTCTCTGGCCAGCCAGAAGAGGGGCTGTGAGAGCCCCCAGAGAAGGAGGAATGGAAAGGATGTTTGTGGATACTCACCAGGCAGGTGGAGGGCTCCATCTCCAATGAGTAGTAGTAGCAGCAGCAAAAGCCACTGGCTGCCCATGTCTGTGCTGGTGATGGTCCTGGAGGGCACTGGGAAGGAGTCCTGGCTCGAGCAAGGGACAGATAGCAGCTCCAAGACAGTGAGGCACTGCTCACCCTGGCACCACCTCTCATCTGCCTGCTGAGTGCACCACCCATCCCCAGGTGTCCAGCTCCTTCCCAGCAGGCCCCAGGGTGCTTTTCAGGGCTGGGAACAACGCTGATGGGAGAGGGAAGGAGGGTGGAGTTTTCCATCAGCTGCAATCACTGGGCCTCTGGGAATTCCCATTCCAACTGGTGAATACCCCGCAGGCCCCTAATTTTCAGCCTTGATGAACAGTGGGCAGAACTCTGGGCCTTCCAGCCTTCCCCCCATCCAACACCAAGGAATCTGTGTCTCAGGGACATGGCTGATCTCATTGGTCTCCCACCTCTGGGGCTAAGAGTAGACTATTTAATTTATTTATTTATTTATTTGAGACAGAGTCTTGCTTTGTTGCCCAGGCTAGAGTGAGTGCCATGGCGTCAGCCTAGCTCACAGCAACCTCAAACTCCTGGGCTCAAGCAATCTTTCTGCCTCAGCCTCCCAAGTAGCTGGGACTACAGGCATGCACCACCATGCCCGGCTAATTTTTCTATATATTTTTAGTTGGCCAATTAATTTCTTTCTATTTATAGTAGAGATGGGGTCTCGCTCTTGCTCAGGCTGGTTTCGAACTCCTGACCTCGAGCAATCCGCCCGCCTTGGCCTCTCAGAGTGCTAGGATTACTGGCGTGAGCCACCACACCTGGCCGACTATTTGATTTTAGAGCTAGAGATCTTACCCTCTCCTCATTGCACAGATGGGGAAAATTAGGCCAAGTGACTCATGCAAGGACCAGGATCCAGGTCTCCTGTCCTCCAAGGCAGCTCACTCTTGCCCATGACTGCCACAGCTTTCTCAGACTCTCCCCATTTCCCAGCTCAGGAACCTGCTGAGGCTCCCATGGCCTTTGGCATGAAGGACCCAAATAGGCTTCACAGGTCCTAAGTTCTCCACCAGACTTCATTAACCTGGCCCAGAAAACCCTTTGGCTTTCTTCTAGGAAGCTTCAGTGCTCCTGTCCTCCAGGAAGCCTGCCAGGCCCCACATGTTAGCCAGTCAGTCTCCTTTGCCCTAGGATAGAGCTGCCTATACTTGTATGAATTGGTCAATGGTGACCCCATCATTAGGTAGATAGTGAGAGATCCGGGTCTTCTAGGGACAAAAGTGGGTGCTATTTCCTTGGTGCAATTGCCCCACCTGGGAAGGACAGGGGTGGGCCCCAGGCCCCCATCTTGGTCTTGCCCCATCCTAATCCTCTCCCGAGAGTCTACCATACCTGGGGGGGAGGGGAATATCTTGCAAATCTGCCAAGCAGAACTTAGTGCGCCAGCTGCAAAGGAATGCAGAGGATCTCTAGTTCATGGGCCAAGCAGCATAGGTACCATAGAGCACAGAAATTGACTTAGTACAACCCGCATGCCTAGTAATGCAACCCCCAACCATCCAATCAAAGTGGTTCCATGGTGACGTCTGAGCCAATAGGGAGGTCCCAATCTAGGCACTATAGAACGGGTCACAGACCATAACCAAACTCTCTTTTCTTGCTGCAACAATGGGTCTGGTCATCATCCGTGGCATATGTATCGTGCTCTGTGAACCTATGTCCTGCTCTTGCTCTATAATCCTATCTTTCTCTCCTCAATGAACCTTATTTTCATGCTTGCCTTACTTTGGTGTCTGGTCATTCTTTGGCCATGAGTGGACGAAGAATCAACATTTCAGACTAAAACCTGACACCGTCAGACTAGGGCTGCCCAGAGTGAGGGCTGGTCTCCATCTTTAGACGGGGAGAGTGTAGGTAAAGCTGTGTCCATCAGACAGGGTCTCCCAAACCATGAGGACCAGGCTCTATTGCCCAAAATGTAGGACCTTAAGGGCAGGGATTATGTCTC